AGAAAAATTGTCTAGCACAACACAGGGAACCGACTTTCTTGGCAGCTGAGCTAGCAATGGATCCAACGTAGTCTTTTCATTTCATGTCAATTGAGAATGTTAACCAGAGAAGGCGCAACGCGTCACTTTCCTGGAGGTTAGCATCAGCCATGGAAGGCAGAAATGTGTCTCTTAGATGTTTAACAGAGAACAGATTAGTTTCAGAGGCGTTAAAATTAGCAAACAATTCTTTGCCCCAGTTAACAACAGACATTAGGCCGATTGTGAGATCAGCCGCCAATTTGACCTTACCATTTGACCTTATCGAATTTGACCTTACCAATTTCGCCATATGGAATTTGAGCTTACCGAATTTGAGCGTATCAATTTGACCTTATCAATTTGACCTTATCGAACTAACAATCTGGTGAATGCGTGGCGGAATTAGAAAAAAAACCGCTAAGTACCGCAAGGAAAAAAAAAGAAGGAAATTTTGGAGAGCTATGATCAACCATGTCCTCAAGGGAGGCAGTATATCGAAGATGTCCCAGTCAGTTACTTAACTATCCATCCTAAATTACTCTGTTCAGCTCCAGTGTTTACTCTGCCATTTCATTGGTCCAGGACTGTCTTACTGCCACCATCAGTCCGGTATTACTTGTCTTCCGTCATCAGTTAATTCAGTTTTGGTTGCTTAAACTCTCTTGTGAAAATTGCGGATTTTCAGCGTCAGTATTATCGACATTCGGAGGAGGCACGGCGGACTGAGGAATCGGAGAGCGGAGTTCGAATTCTAATCGAATCCATTAAATTAACTTACGTTGGGAAAGGTATGAATCCTCTTCTTCTCACTCCGCCCCCATCTATGGGTAAACAGTAGAACAGAACTTGGATGACAACTGGTCTACCGCAGAAAGAAATGACAACCGACTGCGGAAAAAAATACGCCTCGTCAGTCATGTATCGAAAGATACATGATCGCCTAAGCGTGTATCACGCATGGCACATAACTGACTGACTGATTATCGACATTAAATAACGCGCCTCTCACAAAAGACGGCTACATTTAATAGTTTCAACATTGAAAGGGTGAGAGCAGGATGCCAGCCTCGTAGGGCGCTTGAACTCATGAAGTCTGGGAGCCAGTGAATGCAGCTCTTCGGAGCAATTACCATGAAAGTATTTATAAAAAAGACAGAGAGAGGCAACGGCGCGACTGTGAGAGAGCAACTGTAGACGAGATGCCAGATCAGGGCCAATTATATTGCATATCCGCCTCTGGAGCTTATCAAGAACCCCGAGGCAAACAGAAGGGACTCCAGACCATGGCAGCAATACTCCATGCAAGGGCGAATTGTTGATTTGTAGATCTGAAAGATCGATTCCGGGGAGAAAAATTTCCTGGTGCGGCACAGAGAGCCAACTTTCCTTGCGGTGGACGAAGCAATTGACTTAATGTATTTGTTCCATCTCAGGTCAGTAGACAATGTGAGACCGAGCAGCCGCAGAGAGGTGCTCTCGAGAAGTTGAGCGTCAGACATTCTAATGGAGGGCAAGGAAGGATCTCTGTGGTGATTAATAGAGAGCAATTTTATAGATGTTAAGATTCCGCTAAACAAAACCAACCAAATTAACAATATTTCCACCATTCATCTTAAGTCCTATCCATTACACCACCGTGCCTGTCATAGGAAAGTTAGTTCACTGTGTCCTACTAGAAATGTTTTCGCCATAATCTATCTTGTACCTTTATCAGTCTACTGTTTGTTTCTCCATTGAATATTGTTGTCACACCTGGTGCTTCTGCTATTTATATAGAGATTCTTGACAAAATCCAAAGAATCTGCAATGCTACTAGTCATGACCTGGCATCTCAGCTTCAGTCACATTTTCTGTTCCGACAAGACAGTGTAAAGGATTCTGAACTTTATCAACGCAGGAAAGTGATGACTCAACTGCTTCATTCCAGATATAGAAGCAATTGTCATGCGAGACAATTTTTCTCGCCAGAATCTATCTTACAAATTTATAAATCAACCATTTGTTTCTCCATTGAATATTGTTATCACATCTGGTACTTCTGCTATTTATCTAGAGATTCTTGACAAAAGCCAAAGAATCTGCAATGCTACTGGCATCTCAGCTTCAGTCACATTTTCTGTTCCGACAAGACAGTGTAAAGAATTTTGAACTTTATCAATGCATGAAAGTGATGACTGAACTGCTTCATTCCAGATATAGAAGCAATTGTCATGCGAGACAATTTTTCTCGCCAGAATCTATCTTACAAATTTATAAATCAACCATTTGTTTCTCCATTGAATATCGGTGTCAAATCTGGTCTGGAACTATGTATCTAGCGATTCTTGACAAAATCCAAAGAAGAATCTGCAGTGTTATTGGCCCTGATCTGGCATCTCAGCTTCAGTCCCTTTTCCACCGCCGTAATGTGGCTTCCTTGTGCCTTTTCTATAAATATTTTGAAGGTAACTTTTCTGATGAGCTTTCCTTTTTAGTTAAGACCTCCTACAGACTTTGAGGTATTGTGATCGCTGCAGTAAAAATGGAAATTAGGAATGTGTTATTTTGGAACAAGGAATATTGTAGTTTGTTTGAGTCAATGTTTGTGGCTAGCCGGGTTTAAGATAAGACAAATTGAAGACCAGCCTTCCCTCATCTTCCTTTTAGCCTTGTGTCACATTTTTTGTTGTCAACAAAAATAAATATTGCTTTTCTCTTTGGTACCTTGACTTTACAACTTTAAGCGCAGTACTAGGTTGGAAGTTCGGTCTCATGATTTTACAGTTGAAATGGATAGATGTAACTGTTTTTTCTCTCGCAATTCTCGCTTGTGGAGCTCTCTTCCAGCCTCTTGCTTTCCAGTCAAGTTTGATTTTCAGAAATTTAAATACAATATCATCATCTTGTTTCCTTAATTCAGGTTCTTTTATTGTTGTCTCTCCTTAATAATGATTTTTCTTGTTTTTTTTTATTTCACTCTCGATAACTCCTTGAGTGGCTTTATCGCCTTGCTTGGGGTGAAATGATTTAAAAAAAGAAGCTCAGTAAGTTAAGTTCAGTATACACATTCATTTCTCGAATCAAAGAGACTCTTTATCCACATCTTTCAGAGCAGACAAGCCAATCAAGTATTATTTAGTAATTCTTCCATCTATCCCACATTTAGGAAGATAATCCAGAATTGCCACCCAACTCAAATTTAAGTTTGTTTTTTTTTTTTTTTTCAATTCTTCATTCTCTTTCTAATTTTTTTTTCTCCTCTGTTTTCAAACCTTACTTCAAAATAAGAGCTTTTACTTTCTATAAGTCGTGTATAGCTATCCTAGCACAGAGTCACAAGTCATTATGACCGAGGATCTGATTCTACTGGCCTTGTCTAAACAGTTGATCGCACCCCGCTCTCACCCTTTCATTGTTGAAACTGTTAAATGTAGCCGTCTCTTCTACTCCAATAGCTTCATGTCTCGCACCTCTCGCCTGTGGAACTCGCTTCCCTATTACTGTTTCCCTGATAGCTATAATCTCCAACTATTCAAATATAATGCTAATCGATATCTCCAGTTGCCTTGATCTATCCACTATCCTTCTCCTCATCCTTTCCTCTATCATTCCTATCTGCTCTCGCTCTAAATCTTCTATAACCCCTTTCGTGCTAGTGGCCTCCCGCCTTGCTTGCGGTGAAATGCATAAAAAAAATATCGAAGATTATGCGCACTTTCCCAACTGTGGCCATAATCCCGTCTGCATAGTTGCAGTATAAAACTTAGGTTTAATCTGTGGGTATCGAAGAAACACAAATGTGCCTTAGCAGGTGTCTGCAACAGGGATTAGCCAACCACCCTTGTAGACGTTATTATGACGGATGTCTACTACTAAGCCAGATAACCATGAAGTATTTCTTGTCTACTTGTAAAATCCACGTTATCGAGATCGACTTTCAAAGCCTTTCCCATTAAATCGGCAAGTTTAAAACCATTCCGGCTACAAATTGACAATTTCAGTTGAGTCCACCGCCTCAAACTAAGGAGGCCTTATGCTACGCTAGATAAAGCTGATTAAAATATCTAAATTACGGTGCTTGCGGGTGTCTGGTGAGGAAGGATGATTTCCAAACTAATATTGCTAGCTGAAGATGCCTATTACAAATTGATGGTTAGTTAATAAGCTTGTTTAGTCAGTGAGTTCGATTGATATTAGGTTCTCCCTTCTTGTAACCTTGTGCCAGACGATGTTAAATTTAGCAAATAGAATCATTCTATCCACTTCTCTATTTATTGAACATACAATTGTACAAGCTGAGATAGTCGTGTGCGTAGCATGTTCTAGGGTAGCTAGAATCTGGCTTGATTCGGGTGTATTAGTAGCCAACCGTAGCAGCATTAGTAGAGTATTAGTATAAGTAGAGGCAGCTTTTATAAATGTATATACTCGGACTGCATTAGCAAACGATAGACAATATTTACTGCAGCAAATAGGCATAGAGAAGCAATAAAAGACGGTGATGAATATCACACTTTGGAGTATATATCAATGAAGAGTGAAAGAGTTACAAGTAGGAAGAATATATAAAGGAAAAGGGGGAGAGCGGTGATAGAATATATATAGAGAGAGGTATGATGAAAGGAAAAGGTAGATGGAGAGGCAGAAGGTTTGTAAAATATGGAAAGGGAGACAGAGAGGGAGATGGGGGAGAGAGAAAAGTGAGAAAGAAGGGGACAGACAGGGAAGAAAAATTAAAAGTAGATTTTGAGAAGATTAAAAAAAATAATAAAGTAAAATTAATGGATTCTTTAACAAAGAGAGAGAATGATTAATTTAGAATAGAAAAAAGGAAAGCAAGGAAATTGGGAAATGAAAGAAAGAAAGAAAAAAAGAAAGAAAGAAAGAAAATGGAGAAAGAAAGAATCAAACAAACGAAGAAAATTGGGAAATAAAAAGAAAGAAAGGAAGAGAGAGAAAAATAAAAATGAAAAGAAAGAAAATGAAAAAGAAAGAAAGAATTAAACAAACGAAGAAAATTGGGAAATAAAAAGAAAGAAAGGAAGAGAGAGAAAAATAAAAATGAAAAGAAAGAAAATGAAAAAGAAAGAAAGAATTAAACAAACGAAGAAAATTGGGAAATGAAAAGAAAGAAAGAAAAAGAAGAAAAGAAAGGAAGAGAGAAAAATAAAAATGGAGAAATGAAAAGAAAGAAAGAAAACGGAGAAAGAAAGACTCAAATAAATGAAGAGAAAATAAAAAGAAAGAAAGAAAGAAAAAAGAGGGAAAAAAAAAATGGAGAAATGAAAAGAAAGAAAGAAAACGGAGAAAGAAAGAATCAAATAAATGAAGAGAAAATAAAAAGAAAGGAAGAAAGAAAAAAGAGGGAAAAATAAAAATGGAGAAATGAAAAGAAAGAAAGAAAGAAAAAGAAGAAAAGAAAGGAAGAGAGAAAAATAAAAATGGAGAAATGAAAAGAAAGAAAGAAAACGGAGTAAGAAAGAATCAAATAAATGAAGAGAAAATAAAAAGAAAGAAAGAAAAAAGAGGGAAAAATAAAAATGGAGAAATGAAAAGAAAGAAAGAAAATGGAGAAAGAAAGAATCAAACAAACGAAGAAAATTGGGAAATGAAAAGAAAGAAAGAAAGAAAGAAAGGGTGAAAGACAGAAAAAAGAAAATGATAGAAAGAGAAAATGGGGAAATGAAAAGAAATAAAAAAAGAAGAGTAATTGACAGAAAAAAGAAAACGAGAAAAAAATCTTAAAACCAGAAAGCCAGAAAATTAAGATCACATTAAATCAAGGAGAGGCAAAAAAAAGGGACGAGGCTCCCACGATGTTGTTTCATTACGAATCTATATTTTCACATTCGTGCATATATGCACTACAGTTCAAAAGTTTGAAACCATCCTCAGAATTAGCAAGGGATGAACTTGAAAGAAGAATGAAAAAAAAATAAAAAAATAAAAAAATGAAAAAGTGCTCTTAGAGTCATTGAAAAAAGAATGGAATCAATTATCAAACTCATATATACTTTTAGAAACTTTTGTAACGAATACCAAAAATTTGTGTTGCAGTAATCAAAGCTAAAGGAGGATATTTTGACAAGAACAAAATTTAACCATGCATTTTTTTCTTTTTGTTATAATAAAATTTCTAATAAAAAATATCATGTCTCACTTTTTTAACAATGTACAGTGTTCCAAAAGTCGCATTACCATTTAGAACCTTGTAAATATTATATTTATTTACCAAATAGAATCATGTTTCTCTATGTGACAGTATATTATTAATACATTTTATTGGTCGTAATAAGGAAGAGGATGTCATGTGAATTTTCTCTGGTTCCTATTTCACAAGTGTATATTTTCTGTGAATTGCCGTGGGCTTTTTGGAAAACACTGTATAATAACTTTCTTATTTAAAGTACAAAACAGCTACTTTTTGGACCAAATTTAAAAAAGAAAACCAAGGGTGGCTTCAAATTTTTGAACTGTAGTATATATATATATATATATATATATATATATATATTAATTTAAATAGAAAACAGAAAACCTTAAGGGTCCATTGGGTATAATTTATTTCCTCAGGTATGTGGTTTTTACCTGGTTCATCAGACCCCACTTCCAATGGTTAAGAAAAAAAAATTTTTTTTCACCATTGGAAGTGCGGTCTGATGGACCAGGTAAAAATCATATACCCGGGGAAATAAATTATAACCAATGGACCCTTAAGGTTGTCTGTTTTCTATTTAAATTTATAATTGCTCTGATTTGACATTGAGCTCTCTGGATTACATCTTCTTTGGAATTATCCATACGGATTACCAAACTTTTCATTACTTAATGATATACATATGTATATATATATATATGGATACCGTCTAGTAATTTTTTATATAAGCTTTCCTCCTTGCTGTCTCAACTGCATGAATTTAAACGTAGTACTAGATTGACAACTAGGTTTCGCCGTTTTACTGTTAAATTTGCTACAGGTAACCGTAAGTTTTTTTTCTAATAGTTCCTTTTGTCATCCGTGGAACATACCTCCGAATTCTTGCACAGAAGCCAGAAACAATCTTCGAAAAAAATTGAATGTAACGTCAATCTCCATCGTCTCCTTTCTTGTCCTTTCTGCTCACGAAAGACTTTCCATTGTCTTTCATTCCAAAATAACCCCTTGCGTCTGTCTTAGTGGCATCATCGCATTGCATTGGATGAAATGATTATATATATATATATATATATATATATATATATATATATATATATATATATGTATGTGTGTGTGTGTGTGTGTGAGAGAGAGAGAGATAAAATATAGTTTTATGGTATGCTATATTTATGGGTTAAAATACTGAATATCAGGGATAGACTGATGTAAATATAGACAAAATGGCCTGACGATTGCATCTATCTATGTATGTATCTATCTATCTATCTATCTATCTATCTATCTATATATATATATATATATATATATATATATGTGTGTGTATGTATATAATCATTTCATAAATATATGTATTTTATCATATATATATATATATATATATATATATATATATATATATAGATATAGATAGATAGATAGATAGATAGATATAGACATATATTCTACATATTCACTAAAAATCCTCGATAATGGCTAATAGCCGTAATTGCTCAGATATATAGGACATTTACACAGTTTTTACACATTTCACGTTCAGAAAAGAAAACACTTGTACGAATACAAAAAAAAAATACTTAATAAAACGCTTAATCGCTTTACCTTGTCAGTCATCTTTAATAAAACTTTTAAAAGAGGGATTGCTACCCAAATATTCAGTTATATATATATATATATATATATATATATATATATATATATATATATATATATAAGCGCAAAGCAGTTATGATAACCGAGGAGTCGAAAATAAATAATCTAATATTATAATAAATGAATTTGTAGAAAAGGCAAAACGAGGTAAATGGAAACCTTTCATTGATAATTTTCTCCTCTTCCTCTCACTTCTCCTTTTTATGAATTCCTCCTCCATTTCTTTTTCTTTATTATTTGCTGTTGATGTTGCTGCTGGTGCTGGTGCCTCATCTGCAGTCTTAATAAGTTCCCTGTCTTCTGTTCTATCGTCAGATTGGAGAGGAACAAGCTGTTAACATGTTTAAACAACAAAGCTGGTCGAAGGTAAGATAAGAATTACTTATTAAAAAGAAAAAAAAAAAAGAAAAGATTTTAATTCTTCACCAAGACAAAAAAAAAAAAAATAGAAAATAGAAAAAAAAAAAAATACCGGTCTTAAACTCAAAGTCAATCCTTAAGTTTTCTTTTCTATTTTTTTTATATTTATTAATTCATGAATTCTAATGTTTCGTTCCGCTGTAGTTACGTTTCGTTTATATTTGCAACAACCCTAATCCTATAATTATTTTTGCCCACACCCAGCTCTGCGTCTTTTTTGATTCACTTTTCTTTCTTTCTTTCAAAAAAAAAAAAAAAAAAAAATCGAGATTTTCATATTTAAAAGTCATTTACTAAATATAAATTTCGATCAGTTTGCTACTTTATAACTCTTTTTTTTTTTGTTATTTACGGAAGAATTTTATTCCTTTGATCGAAAGGAAATTTAATTATGTTATTTTATGTCGCAGTAAGTATGCGTGATCAATAGTCGATGTTAAGGCACTGGTGTTTCGTTTTTGTTGATTCGATTTATCGAGTTCGTCTGCTTTGGTGATCAGCAAAATGATTAGTTTATTTTTTCTTATTTTTCCTTCCTACAATTATCAAAAATCATAAAACTGTGTTACATCGTAGTGTCAATTTTTCTTAAAAGTGAAAAGAAAAAAACTTCTTATTTCACTTCAGTATAGAAATTAAATCTGTTCAGTTCATTCATAAGTATTTTTATTTTTTAATTACTATTTTATTACGTATTTATTTATTTAGATAATATTATCAATCAATTTATATATATATATATATATATATATAAACTTACCATTATATTTAATTCGATGATGAGTAACGAAAAATAAAGGCAGTTCTTGAAGCAGACATCAATAATACATTAAAATAATCAAAATTCGATATATACACCTATGTACACGTGTATAAACGTTTGCCCGGGTTTATATATGCGTACATGTATATATGTAGGTGAAATTAGAGTAAATACAAGAATACTGGGGAAGGTTCCAGAAGTTTAATTGAGCCATAGTGATACTCCCAATTATCTGCCACAATATTTCAGAAAATCCTTAATAATCGTAATAATATTTGTTATTATTATTAATAATGTTAAAAGACTGGCGTCTGAATAGATAGCGATCAAAATTTTATAGGAGTACGAACAACAAAAAAAAAAAAAAAAAAAGAAGAAACATACCAGGAACTTGCTCGAGAACAGGAAAAACTGTCGGTTTGGCGCATAATACCCGACGTACTGGTAAACACCCGAAAGATACAATAAATGTATTAGGGATCCGAGGAAGGGTTGAGACTGTTCAGACTGTCCAGTCCTCAACCGTGTTAATGTTGGTAAGAATAATGAGGAAGGTGCTAGATAATTGAAAATAATAATAATAATAATAATCTGTTTGAATATCTTCAAAAAAAACTATCAAAATACAAGGACATTGAAATAGCAATCTAAAAAATGGCTCGTGAGGACATCACCACTTTCATTTGTAGTTGGAGCCCTCGGACTGATTGGAAAAAGTTCCGATAGACTGAATGAAGGGATTCCTGATTTCCTTAAAGAAATACAAAAAATTTTACTGACAAGTACAACCCACATCTTACGGAGGACTTTATCTATGTAAAATGTGTGTGATCTTAGGATTTTTTTTTCTCTTAAATGCTCGGTGGGAAATGTCATTATGCCATTTCTGACCTTATGTCTCTGGTTGAGACCCAGAAAGAAATGAGTAGACACCAGAAATCAAAGGAAATAAAGTATTAGTAATAATAATAATAATAATATGGTGATGATTCGAATATTGTTTCTGGAACATGGATAGCTGAATGTGCAATGGAGCAATAGGCATTCTGTTTTAATACCGCATTATCGTGTTAGCCGTATCGAACTGCTGCTGTGCGACGAATTGAAAGCTGTTGTCGCTTTTGGGGTTATAAACAGCATCGAATCTTTAAAAGACACCATAAGGGTACATTTATAGCCGATAAGAACAAAAGCAAACACAATATAAAGAAAGAAAAATGCAATCTTTAAAGGATTCTGTGTATTGACTGAGAGTCGCTTATTTAGGAGACACAGAGCAATAGTGTAGGGAATCGTTTTCTATAGGGAGAGGATTTTTTTAAAATATCGTTTTTATATGCGTCTTTTTGTACATCGATGTTCACTCTCTACAAGGCCCTAGAGCCACTCAAGGTAGATGGTTACAGATTAAAAGTCATTGTTTATGCGTGTATGTGGAGAAGACAACGGTTAAACCTAGATTTGAACAGGTTAAGATTGTAATGATCGAGGAAGCACTATCTCGGGAATCGGTTACACAAATCAGCGGTTGATAGGAAGAGGCTGCTCGAGTGGAACTTGTATCTCACCAATACGAAGGGAATGGGTGCGGTTCGCTACAGTGTGCGTAGCATGGCGGGTCTTAACCGTGAACATCAGAACTGGTGAAACTAAGGAATTTAGTTCGTCTGAATACTTAACATGGATTTGAAACGTACTCCAAGTTTCTCTGATTATAATGGCTCACTCCCTAATTTCTGCAAAAAAGCTGCAAATATAATTATGGAAGGTAGGGTGGGGACAGCGTCTTATGCAGAGAGAATGCTTTTATGCATTTTTTCTTATGTGTTCTTGTTTTTGCAACCACCACAATGTCGCTCCCCCACCCCGGATCGTTGCTTCGATAACCCCATCTCTCTCTCTCTCTTTCTCTCTCTCTCTCTTTCTTTATATCTATCTATCTATCTATCTATCTATCTATCTATCTATCTATCTATCTCCCGTGGTTTGTTCAAATGAATAGGGTTCCTTTATATCTCTCCTGCCAGCAACACACTGGCCACAACGAGAAGACAATTTCCAGCATTATCTCGAAGCCGCACACACAGGAAAAAAAAACAAAACACGTTTTGATGTTTTAACTCGTAATAATTTCCGTCATCCACACCAACAAAGATATTTTTTTTTACTAATGTTTAAAAAAAAATCGTTTACGTTAGCGAGCTTTGTTTTCCAAGTTTACTTGCGAACAAAATGAATTTTTTCTGTCTTCCGAAACGACGAACATGAAGATTAAAAAAATAAGACGATAGTGAGGATAACAGCATTGTACTTGGAGATGCAAATGTTGAGGGAAAGAGAGGAAAAAAGAATGGAGGCGGAAATCAAGAGAAGGCGGAATTAGAAGCGTTAAAAAAAGGGGGAAAAATGAAAAAAACGAAGGAGAAAGAAGAGTAGTGTAAGAAAGAAAAATAAGAGAAATAGAAGAGACTAGCACACAAGCAGAGAAAGAAAGAAAGAAAGAAAGAAAGAAAGAAAGAAAGAAAGAAAGAAAGAAAGAAAGAAAGAATAATTAGAGGTAGTAAAAAGAAAAAAATGAAAACTCGAAGAAGAAGGGTAGGAGAAGAAAGAAAAGAAGAAAAAAGAAGAGAAATAAACATGACTGAAAGAAAGAAAGAAAGAAAGAAAGAAAGAAAGAAAGAAAGAAAGAAAGAAAGAAAGAAAGAAGTAGTCAAAAGAAAACTGAAGACTCGAAGAGTAGAAGAAATAAAAAAATAAAGGAGACTGAAAGAAAGAAAGAAAGAAAGAAAGAAAGAAAGAATAATTAGAAGTAGTAAAAAGAAAAAAAATGAAGACACGAAAAAGAAGAAAAAGAAATAAAATAATCTGACAGACAAAAAGAAAGAAAGTAAAAGTAGAATTAGAATTAGAAATAGCAGAAAGATTAAGAATGGAAGAAGAAAGGAAAGAAAAATAGAAAGAAACTGAAGAAATAGGGAAAAAAGCGTAAATAAAGAAAGAAGGAAGACAAGGTGAATAACTACTGAACGTGTAATTCTAAGGAAACCATTTCTAAAACGCATTTCCAATGAAGGGTATACATTGACAGTAGATAAGATATTCTTACGCCCATTTTTTCATTACATTTTCTTGTTTTTCTACAGCTCAGCTTTATCAATAATATCATTTTTTTAATACTCCTGTTGATTTTTTGCTGCAGTTGAAATTTTCTGTTTGATTTCATTTTTCTTTCTTTCTTTTCATTTTTATTCCACACTTAACTCCTTTTCCTATTTCTAATTTTATTTCCATTTCTTTCTTTCTATGTCTATTCATATCTATCTATCTATCTATCTATCTATCTATCTATCTATCTATCTATCTATCTATCTCACTTGTTAATAGAGTTGTACATATATTTAAGATTAATAAGGAGATGCGAAGTATTTGTGGCCACAAAATAACATTGCAACATCCACTAAAAACTTGTTCGCACAAAGAATCTGTATAAATAACATACAGTGTAACCCGGATGTAAGAGAGTTGTCGGGACCGGAGAAGAAGTCTCTTATATCCGGGTTTCTCTTATATCCGGGTTTGGTCTACAGTGTAACCCGGATGTAAGAGAGTTGTCGGGACCGGAGAAGAAGTCTCTTATATCCGGGTTTCTCTTATATCCGGGTTTGGTCTATTTTATATACATTAACACAGGCTCTAATTTGGGACTAGAGAAAATCTCTCTTATATCCGGGTTTCTCTTATATCCGGGTTTCTCTTATATCCGGGTTACACTGTAATATGAAAATAAGGAAGAATAGTGTTATTGTTGGTAGGTCCAGTGTTGAGTCGCCGAATTTCGATTTTTTTTTTTAAATACAGTGTAACCCGGATATAAGAGACCCGGATATAAGAGAAACCCGGATATAAGAGACTTCTTCTCCGGTCCCGACAACTCTCTTACATCCGGGTTACACTGTATTATTATTACGTAGAAAAACATTAATGTTAAATACAAGATTTACCAAAGGATATTTAAGTATTTTATTCGTCTCTTGAAGCTAATTTTAAACACAAACAGACAGACAGACAGACATAAACACCTACACACAAATTGTGGGAAATTTGTCCCCGCTTTCCCACATGAAGGGGTTAAGGATAAATGTGACAAAATCAATTAAAGCAACAACAGCTTGAAAGATTAGAGCAGACAATTATCTCTTTTAGGCGGAAGTATAAAGACTCAAACTCCTGCTTGGTGTGTAACAACAGAAAAAGAAAATGTTTATTTACATACACAAAAAAAAGGTAAAGGGATATACACAAAATCTGAGAGAAAGGAAGGGAGAAGAAAATTCCTTTAACTTAACGGAAGAAAAAATATTCATATAAAGGCTTGCTCAAAATATTTCTCTGAGCGCCTAAAAGTTCTTTGAGTGAGTAAATTGTTCTTAAGGGGTTAACACTCATATAGATTTCTTCAAAGCTCTTGTTGGGGAGAAAACTGTCGGAAGATCCGAATTTTGTAGTTGAGTGTGTTCGCAGGCCGACAACAGGAATTTATAGGTGCAAGAAAGCAGATCTCAATTAGTTTTTAGTAGAAGGCCGACGTCCTGTCTTTAGAGCCCAGTAGGTAGATCTCTTTCTAGAAACATGTTCGGTGGTGTTCCATCGCCGACCTGATGTTATCACAGACGATGTCACGTACTCACTGCCAAAGCGGCGTATATTCTCCGTATTTATCGAGATTAGAAGGCTCAGAAATATCGGGAACTTTTCCCTCCAAAATTGATATACATTTTCCCGGAACTCTCATTCGTCAGAAAATATATTCTTATCTCTGATAAGAATCAAAGTTTTGGGAGCTGCTTTTTGGAAGCAAGACTCTGACAAGTTGTGAGCGTTACCCCACGACTTTATGGCACCATGGTCAGGGCAAGTATGGTTAGATTCCTTTTTATATTTTATAGCTCTCTCGTTCGTCAGAAAATATATTCTTATCTCTGATAAGGATCAAGGCTTTGGGGGTCGGTTTCAAAGCAAGGGAAAAAAGTTGGGGCAAAGATCAGAAAAGAGGCTAGAACGTAAACTTGTAAAACATGAGTAATGGTTCTCAAATTAAATTCAAATGAAACATCAAACACCTAATGAGTTAGTCTTTCGTAATTTTGCGATCCAGTATTTATATTTATACACGTTTTGTTTCATCATTTAATAGGGTCGGTCGTGTGGTGTAATAGATAGCGGGTTGGGATGCAAAATCGGAGAGCCGAGTTCAAATTCCAGTCCGGTTTGTTACTTACACGCAAATACTCTTCGGAAAGATATGAATCGCATGTTCTTTAGCTATGGGTCAAATAGTAGGACTTGTATCTCGAAAAATCATTTTTGTTTGAGGAGTGAGGGAAAAAGACAATAAAGGAATAGGTTTTAGTTGTCACCTTCCGCTGGTATTGAAAATTATTCCTCTTAACCTGGATTCGATCGAATCGGATTATTTAATGCCGACAAAATTTTTATTGCAGCTAATTTTTTTGTTTTGTCAAAAATCTATTTCTGGCAAAATTTTTTTCTTCAAAAATGTATAGCTGGTAATATTTTTTTCCCCAAAAACGTATTGCAGGTAATATTTTTTTCAAAAATTTATTGCAGGAAATACTTTTTTCCAAAGTATTTCTGGTATTAAAACCTATTTTAACACTTTAATAGTATTTTTTCCCCAGTTTCGATGTTAACTATTTGCCCATAGCTAAGACCCTAACAGGTGCTACCACCCCGGGTCAGGATGGACCTGGGAACACCAGCAATTAAGAGGTGGTTCCACGCTCCTCAAAACCTCTTGATCAGAGGCCTTGCTGTTGGATGTAGTTTATCGTCTTACCCAGGACGTGGATGTAGTTAATTATCATACCAGAGTGATTTTGTGTGCAACTGATAGGTTGTTTATTTTTGTACACTAATGAAATATATACTTATATTTTGAAGAAATCATATTTAATTTTTCGAATTACGAAAGGTTCGGAGAATGAACAGATGAAACTTGCAGGGTTCAATACCTCCAACTCAGTTAGGAACCACTGTCAGAAAGTATATTCTTCATACCTGTCACCTTTAGCTGGTATAAGAAATCCTTCCACATGCAGTATATTCTTCATACCTGTCACCTTTAGCTGGTATAAGAAATC